TTTGTTGAGATACTTGCTATTATATATTGTGGTGGTCAGTGGAACCCATAATATCTCCAAACTATGCCTGTACACTAAAGCAGCCATAAATTGATTATACTATTATCCCAGGCAAGGGGAGATGAATAAAGTCCAAATTTAGTTGAAATGTACCTTTATCCAAGTTGACACTCTGGACAGACTGTGTGGCCAACCGAGAGCTAATGTCCAGCTGCCAGAGCAAAAGTAAAAGTCCCTTGTTGCTAGGGCACTTTGCTAGGAAATGACAGTGCCCGTGTTGACAGGCAAGATGTTCGCAGGGCCCATGCCAGGCTTTTGCCAATGCCAGTAAGAGTCACCTTTCCCTCAGCAGGAGTCAATGCCCAAAAGGTCTCCGCAGAGCTATTTAGATCACAAAGGGTAGCCTTGCCCAGATGGAACACTCTAGAAAAGTCCTGAGAAACTCTTGGTATTTAGTCTAAACGTCCTCTTGCCATAGTTGCTTCTCCATGTATTTGATTTGATGAGCCCCCCAGTGATGCCCCACAGCAGCTGATCTGAGTGTCTGTCTGAGAGCAGAGGAGTTGATAACATTCTGAACAGCTTATGAACTTCACTCATATCAAAACAACTTCACTCTTAAAGACAAGTTCATTTGTGTCATAAACCAGTGGATTTGAAATCAAATCAAACTGACACAACAGACAATGCACAAAATAAAATTTTACTCAGATAGTTAAGTGGTTGAATATTTTTATTGCAGCCAAATTTTTTATTGTGAAATAAACATTTTTTTAATTAGTGTCAGCTGTACAACACAGTGCAATAGTTATACGTTTTACCGCTCAAAGTGACAACTCCCCTCCCCCAATCCGCCGCCCCGCTCCCCCCCCAATATCATACATATCTATTACAATTCCTTTGATTCCACTCCCACGTTATACTCCATGTGGCTATATATATATTCAATTATAGTTGACATACAATATTATACAACATCAGCTTCAGGTGTACAGTGCAGTGATCAAGCCTCTACCCCATCCATGAAGTGGTCTCCCTAAAAAGACATGTGACCATCTGATACCCTACAAAATATTTACAACATTAATTATATTCTCCAAGCTGTCTTTCATATCCCTGTGGCAAATTTTAACAATAACAAAATAATCCTCTTACTGATTATATTAAATGAAAATTCCAAAAGCACTGCTTCCCAAAGAGTAGGTAACACTCAGGAGTACACTGTAGACATTACTTTAATAAATATTTATAAAGTGTTTACTATGAACAAGGGATTCTGCCAAAATGAGGAATCTGTATGTGGAGGGAGGGTGGAAAAAACAATTAACAGGGTACAACCTAGTAGGAGTGGCTGTACAAAAAATGATAACTGTACTACAAGCAGGTGGGATTATTTGAGCAGCAGTACGAATGACATGACATGAAAGTTTAGACATCAGAAACATCAATTTCATCTTGGTGGGCCAGGAGCAACCAAGAAGGCTATGTGTAGGAAATAATATAGATCTTGTCTTGGCACTCCTGATGAAATTTAGGTACAAAGAGAGGAACAATGATATATAGAAAGTGGCGTAAACAAACTTTCAAATTTAGGAAGGCTCAGGATCTTTTAATAGTCATTTCATTTGGTTTGAGACATTTATAAAGATATTTATGAAGAATCATAATAAAAGAGGCTGCAAAGCAGACAGGAATTTGATTATCAAGAGCCTTTGAATGTAAAATTAAAGGAATATCAACTTAATTCAAAAGGAATTGTTTTTTGGTCATTATTTATCAGGGAAGAAAAATTAAACTGGTAGTATCATTTGTGAAAAAAAAATGAGGGACTCATTTGTAGGCATTTCTAAAATACCTCTTGGATAACTCCTAGAAATGAATGCAAGTCATTTTCAGGAATACATATTTCTAGCAATCAATTTCCAAATAATTCAATTACAAGCAGTTTTACTACTAAAATGTACCATGGCCTAACCTCTTGATCTTAGACTGATGAGGTTTTAAATAGTCAAAGTAGAACTATGTTTAGCCAAAATTCTAATTATTTTACATAAGAAAATTGACTGTTAGGCATATGCAGGTGGATATATCCAGGTTTCTTGCTAGTTTGAGTAAATTAATTTAGCTTCTCAGAACCACTTGGGTTGTCAAAAAGTCATGACGCATGTTTGCAACAGATGGCACTAGTTCATTTTTTAATGTACTAGAGTCATTCACATCTATGTTATTGCTATGTCATTTGACAGAGGACAGTTCTAGCTTCATTCTAAAAAAAAATTGAGCGATTTGGTTGAGTTTTGGAGATTTCACAAGTTGAAGATCAAGACCAAACTGTGCATTTTTGCCATATTTTACTGTTTTACTTCCATAAAGGGAAGAATGCACATCAAGCTTGTGAAAAGTTGCATAAAGTTACAGTGAAAATGCTCAATCTACAAGAATGTCAGTGTCAATGATAGTTCACGAAATTCCATGCTGGTGATTTTGATCTCAACAATGTTCCTCGGTCAGGGAGGCCCACCGAGGTTGATGACAACAAAATAAAGGCATTGATTGAGTCAAACCCACATTACACGACACGAGAGATTGCAGAAACATTGAACATCCATCATTCAAGCATTCATGACCACCTGAAGAAGCTGGGATATATAAGCAAGCTCGATATTTGGGTTCCACATGAACTCAAAGAAGTTCATTTGACAGCACGTATAAACATCTGCAATATGCTCATTAAACATGAGGAAAACAATCCCTTTTTGAAGCTACTGATAACTAGTGATGAGAAGTGGATTGTTTGCAACAATGTAGCACACAAACAGTCTTGGTCCAGGCATAATGATTCGCCTCAAACGACATAGACAGCAGACATTCATCAGAGGAAAGTTATGTTCTCAGGGTGGTGGGATTTTAAAGGTGTCGTGTTTTTCAAGCTCCTACCAAGGAACCAAACAATCAATTTGAATGTGTACTGTTGGCAGTTGGACAGTTTGAATGAATCCATCAACCAGAAACATCCAGAGCTTATTAATTGTAAAGGAGTTGTATTCCTTCGGGACAACACGAGACCACACACGTTTGATCACCCATCAAAAATTATTGGAGCTTGGATGGGATGTGTTGCCACACCCACCATACTCTCCTGACCTTGCACCGTCAGACTTCCACTTGTTTTGCTCTCTTCAAAACTCTTTGCATGGTATAACGTTCAATTCAGATGAGGCTGTAAATCAGCACCTTGTTCAGTTTTTCACAAATAAAGACAGGTTCTTCTCTGAACAGGAATTATGAAGCTCACTGAAAGATGGCAAAAGGTCATCAAACAAAATGGGCAATATATCATTGATTGATCTTTGTTCTTTATATAAATAAGTGACTTTTGAAAAACATAGACAAAATATGTCATGACTTTTCCGACAACCCGATAGATTGACCACAGCATCAGATTCACTCAGGGTCACATTCCGACACTCAGATATTTTCAACATTTATGAATCCCACAAATGTAAAACAAACATAATAATTCTAATCACCCTCAGTAAACCTTGGATGATTGTGTTTCCCCTCTTATTTTAAACCAGTTCTGTTATTTCTATTTAAGTTCCTAGCACTTTTACTTATATTGTGTTCCCTGATCTTTTTATAAATCTAGATCCCAGAATTCTACTCTGTCTGCAACGTCCTCATTTGTTGCTCCTTCGGATGGGACAGAAGGGGCTGACGCCATGGGGACTTCCTCCATCCCTGCTCCTACAGCACCATCCATGTGCCAAGAGGATGTTTGTCACAACGGAGGCACTTGCTATCCAGTCTTTCTCTCAAGTGGCATATTCTCATTCCAGTGTGACTGTCCACTACATTTCACTGGCCGTTTCTGTGAACAAGGTAATCAATCTTCATTATCCTTTTATATTTCTTTGTAAAAACTTCTCTAGAGGGAGTAAGAGAATTGAAACCTATTGTAAATGCACTAGCACAGACAAGAAACATCTATATAATTTTATTTAAAAATTAGTTCTGATAGAACACTTTTGGTTTAATATTATAGAAGCAAGCCTAAGATTTTTTGTTTTTCTTTGGATTGCCATTCAAAACACATTTTTAATTGCCATACGAAATGAGAGTTCAAATTCAAATGTAGTGTTATTTAAATAGTTTCTTCTAAAATTATGTGTGCTTATCTTTTGCACCTTAGAAATAATTAGGTTCCAATTAATACTATTTTTATTGTCTACTTGTTAATAAAAATCACTATTTTTTATAGTTCATAAGCAGATTTCCAAAGTTAAATTATTTTGGTATGTAAGAAGAGTCCATTATTTTTGATGCTTCAGAACATAGTTTTATCATTAATAGGGCCATTTATGAATCAAAAGACAATTCCCCTATTGTCAACATCTAGTGGCCTCCTGAGAGTCCCTCAGTTCATTAAAGCAGTGCTGGGTGACTAGCGCCAGAAACACCCTGGGCAGATTATAAAGGTGTTAGTTCATGACACAGCTGACTGCATGTTTCTATACTAATAGCTTAAAAAGTGTCATTGTTTTCTATGTACAATTAATCACTGGTTCTAAATTGGGGAAGTGGGATATGAATTACTATTGGATAGTGATTCAGATGCAGAGAATTTCATTACTTATCCAAGATTGTGTTAAATAGCTTTTTTTTAGTATCAAAATGTAGAACCTCTAAAACCTAATTCAATATATATATATATATATATATATATGAGTATATATGTTAGCAGCTCTTTTTCCCAAATGACCCTGTGATTGCTACGTATGTTTTAATATTCAGCCCGGTAAGCAAGTAAATACAGTAAAGAGTAGAAAAATGGAAACATAGTCTATTTTCATGTTCATTGTAAAACATTATGTGTCCTTAAAGCCTATTTTTAACTGTAAAATATTTTTGAAGACACATCACCATTGCTTAATTTTTGAGTGAATATTTAATATCTCCGTAAAGTATCATGAGACTTGCCTTCTGCTGCTGCAATCTGAGACCATTTATATTACTTTCTGTGAGTAGAGTTTTAGGTATATAATTTGGATGTAAAGCCCGTTTAGATCTACACTTAACCATTTAAAACTCTGAGAGGGCTTTTTCTTTCTTTAATTTCATGGTAGGTAGAATCTTAGGAAAATACTCTCTTTACCTTTCTTAAGATATACTTTGATATGTTAATCCAAATTTATTGACAGTGGTGAATTCATGTTATAAAAGGAGGAGTAATCAATCACACATTTTCAGAGTACAAATGACGCTCTAACCATAATTTGTATCTCTCCTATTGAATCCCCAATTCTTCCTCCTCTTAGTTGTGTTAACACTCATATAATGGCCTACAATTTCCTTCAGAAAGGAGAAATTCAGGTTTACTTGGAGTAAATCCAAGGCTTGACTGAGGTTTAGTTGTATTTGGTGTTTGAGGAGGCAGAATGTAGGAAACTGAGCTCAAGAAAAGAATTGAGAATATATGCTCTATATTCATTTTTGAGAATATTTTATTTTTTCAACATTATTAATCAGTTTCTACCTCCTATATTTTAGCCTTTCCCCTATTGAATTTCTAATATTTTAAAAATTAATAAATTGGAAGATAATGTGTTGCTAAGATTAGGTAATCTACTACAGAATATTTTTTTCTAAGTGAAAAGTAACCAGAAACTGTGAGTAAATAATTATTACCAATTAGAGAACTGTTTGGTTTTTTTTTTTTAAGAAGAAGAAGGTTTAAGTTAGGGACATCTGAGGTGTATGATGCAATGCACTAAACAAAATGCATGCAATAGGATTCTTTTTAGGTTATCAGACATGATAGTATTATCTATAATTTTATTGTTGATCTTGACTCCTTTGGGAGAAATATTTCACTATAATATTTAAAATGTGGTGTGATGTGCATTTTTAGGATTGGGAATATTATTTCTAAATATAAAAATTATCAATCTTTATTTTTAACCGTTTGCCCCCTAAATTGGAATTAAGTATCTTTCTTCTTTCATTTATAAAGAAAGCCAAGAACAGGTTTGTGTTTTCAGTCTTATGCTCTAAATATAATTTATAGTGGTATTCATCTTAGAAACCAAATTGACAGGCAATGACTACTGCCTAAGGCTCATAATTCAGGAATCTGGTACCATGACAAGACTTTTTATAGCATTATCCAGCTTGGTCAGATGCCACAGTTTCTAAGTGTAGATTTCAGTAAACAGTATTGTGTGCCAGTTTCAATGCATTTCAACTACCTGATAAAAATCTTGTTATAGATAAACAGCCTGTGAATCAATCAATCTGTGTGTGTGTGTATTTATATTTGTATTTATAATTTCTTAGAAACAGTCTCAGTATTAAATTTCTTAGAATTTAATGATAGATTGCTATAAAAATAATTTCTTAACTGAGTCCCTTATTAAATATATTCAACATCTAAAATATATGAACTTCTACCTCAGGAATGAAATTTGCATAATGTCTTGGGGGGTGGGGGCGGGGTTCTGATTTACTGGACAGTGCACTGGCGGCTTCACGCATCTTATCTCACTGAAATAAGCACTCTAAATTACCCACTTTTATAAAATCTTACCCGCTTTTATAAAATCTAAGATTACAAAATCTAAGGCCTGGAGTTGTTCACTTCCTCTGTCAAGGTCACACAGCTTGTGTCTGGTAGGGGTGGGGTTAGACGCAATTCTCCCTGGCTCCAGTCTTCACATTTCACCGCCGTACTCCACCCCCGCACTCTTTAGACAATCAAATTGAATGTGGTGGCATGACATGGAACTTCTAAATGTCCTCACTCTTTCACATCTGTTTATAAAAGTATCTTTATTTCAGGAAGAAAGGAGCATTTTCTTTAGAAAATAAAATTTTGAAAATCAGAAAACCAAAGGAGTTAATGTTGATCCGATACATGTTTCAGGAAGAAGGCATTATCATGATCCACCTGAAATCAAACTGAAAAGCATATTGAGTGACCCAAAAAGAATCGTATCTGAGTGGTAGAACATCGGAGTGGATCTTTCAGTAGAACTAAAATATAGGAAGTCGATTAAGAAGATTTGAATTGGGAAAATCTAGATGTAGATGATGACACTCTGAAAAAATGTTCCATATTTCCCCGTGTATAAGACAGACCCTTTTTTGAAAAATTTGAGGTCTAAAAACTGGGTGTGTCTTATAATGTGGCTGCAGATTTTTTAACGCATTTCCCGCTTTTTTCGTGCTTGTTTTTGCACTCATACAACCACTGCATAAGACTCACCCAGTTTTTAGATCCCAAAATTTTCGAAAAAGGGTATGTTATACAGGGGGAAATATGGTAATTGCATAGGCATCTATAAAAGTAAAGACACGCTGAAAGTTGGTTTTTCTTTACAGCCTTGCTCCTTTTTACTTCTAGTTAATATTCTTAAGCTGTGAGAGAATGTTAAAGTATTTTATTTTGAAACTGATTTTTTCACAGCAAAATGGAAGTGTGAATGAAGTAGAGGCCCTAACTAAAATAGCGCTGGATTCAGTCATACAGAGAAAGGGTTTCTAGGGCTATGGGACTCAGTCATGGGTCACGGACACACATGTTTCCTACCGACTTGGCATTACGTCATTGTGCTCTACTTTATCAAATCATCCATATCTGATCACCTAATAACATTGACTTACAGAAGCCATTTGATTTAATGGGCTCTTTTTTTTGCGCAACACATGCTATCTTAATTCACATTAGCTAAACCTTGTTGCCTACTTTATCATAATGATCCTGTAGTTCACCAGGGGAAACATAAGAGCAGATATGCTTGCTTTGTTTCAGATGGCTGCATGCAGGCAGATGGCTGTCTCCTACTGTAAAGTTCAGAGTGACAGATTTAGAATATCAGTGCCTTGTGCTGGGGGAAAGTGTATGTCTCTGACTATTAATTATAGGATTAACATTTTTAAACAGCCCTGTACTTTTTAGTGTTCTATAAAACAGTTTTATAAATAATGCAGTAGAGGGGTATTTAAATACCATACATTAAAACGAAGAAATTTTTGTTTTATTTGAAACCCTGTCTGTGTAGATTCCATATATGCTTAAAGGTCAACTGTACTGAGTAAATTGCAAATCTAGAAATAAAAACGAGAGGTTTCAGCAGGTGTTTTGTTTTGCTTTGCATAAAAGACTGCCTTACTATGGATGCTTTTGTTTTTACCATAACTGGAATATATTTTAAAGGTGTATTAGTTGGAATGTATTTGTTAACTTTAGATCAGGTGGCTGAATGTCAGACATTCCAGGGCCAAGAAGGCAGAGAAAGAGAGCATTAATCAACTTATAACAATGGTTTATCTCCTGTCCAGAGAACCGATGGTCTGTATCATCAGAAAAGGGCCAAGAAATGGTATCAGCCTTTTCAAACATAATACCCATGTCTAAAACCCTATTTTTCAAATTAGAGGGCAATGCTGCATATTTACTAGTTGACGGCAACTGCTGAATTATTAAGATGTTAAGTTGAAAATGAATGGGGATTGAAGTCAAGGAAAAGGGCTAAAGGGAGGTAAGATTACGTATTAGCACAGACAGAGGGTTTTATTTTTGAAGGCAGGGGCAAGCTGAAGGTTCCAGTCCTGTGGGCTTTTCTGCACTTCATTGGCTCCATTCTCCAGCAGGGGGCACTGTATTTAGCTGACAGAAAAAGACAGTCCCCTTCCCCATTCTGGTGCTTGTAACTATGTAAAAACTAGATGTCTATCAATCTCTCTATTTACATTGGTAATAATCCAGAAATTTCCATACAGGAAGAGGCGGGAATATCTATATTCCTTCATCCATCAACAAAAGGATGACATTTATGTTGTCTTCTTTATTGCCTTCATTAACTTTTTTTTAACTTCCCTAT